TCCTGCTTATTTGGGGAGGTTATTGTGGATCCCACTACACACTTTCAGCCGATCAACCCAATGTATAGACTTGTTGGTACCTAAGGAGGAGATAGCTTCTCAGAGGGATCTACAGAAGTATGCAAATGACTTAGTTGCTTAAATTCCTGTGCCTTTCAGGATGAAAACTCTAGATTAGTTAGCCCTGCCTTTGTCAGTATTTAGTATTTATTCTAGACATTATTTTTGGAAAATGAGATCTATCTTCAAATAAGTCCAAGTCAAAAAGTTCTCTCAGTGTTTCTGCTTGCTCTCAACCATGAAGAAAATTGAAAATTATAGTTTACATTTGTGCCTTCTGTGGTATCAGTGTTCATTATAATAGAATGCACATTACAGTGTGACATTAACATAGAAATTACCTGTAGGTGTATCGCTACAGTAGTGTATTTACAACCAAAGGTACTCCTGGTACAGACCAGTAACAGGGCTATGATCAAACACAAAGGAGGCTGGTTCTACAATATTTAAACTGTGCGCTTGATAAGGATAAGTTTATGAGAATTAAATTCACATTTACTGGAAAAAGCCAGGCTGAGCAGACAGGAATCCCAGCCTCCAGCACAGTTCATAAGCAAGCTGCAACTTTCTTACTCACATATTCCCTAGTTGAGGGAATGATCAAATGTATGGTCGTACATCATGCAGTTCTTTGTCTTCTCAGAGATCACCAAATGGTGTTTGAGCCCAGCAGTAGCCACAGAGCTCTTTGCTCTTGCCCACTTTGCTATGCTAACTGTCATCCTCAGAAAAGAAAATAAAATACAGAGCAAGAGAGACCAGTAAGCAGATTTTGACCACAATCTGTAGCATGGGGAACTTCAACCACTTATCAGCTACTTTTGTTACCAGGGTAAATCACGGATCATGTAGGACAAGATGAGACATGTAAAAATAGCTGTGTATAAATTCAACATGATAAAAATGATAGAGCCATTTTTTCAACAGTCATGTTAAACTTACTTGTCAATTGTGTATTTTTTCCTGATCCCATTAGTTCCAGTCAAGGCTACGTCTATATTTCCCTTCATGGTTTCTGTTGCAGATACTCTGACACATATCTTTTTTCGCCAGCCTTTGAAAGCAAAATGAAATAGATTACGGTTGTAAGGAGATTTCTTTCCTAATGGTAAAACTTTTTATACGTCTCAGTGTCTTTCAGGAAGAGGAATGTATTGCTCAAATGCGCTTGTAAGCAAACAAAATGTCACTCTTTATTAAGGAAAATGTTAGTTCTGCGTGATTCTGGTAGTAATTTCCTTGACAGCGGTCCAAATAGCAAATGCAATCTTTGCTGACCTACTGACTATGCCAAGTATTTAGTCTGCCATGGCCAATACTGCACCTTGCTCTTCCACTTGGTCTCACTTTCAATTTTGTAATTTCTTACACTTATGGGCACTTTGGGGAGTCTCATGGGTAGCATGTTAGGTCTCAACTATGAAGTGAAGTCCACTGGACTGCTGTGTTGTTAAAGATATATTAAACAAAACCAGCAGCTTTCCCAGGATGATCCCCATATACAGAGTGTTTAGCGTTTTTCTTATACCTGTGCACAGCCTAAGAGCTGTCAGGAGACCCTGTCATCCCACATGTCTTTCTAAGGCAGAAGCGGGGTCTCAGATGCAATAGCATATGCTGATTTCAAGCAACCAGGTTCGGTAAATTTTCGTACTGGCTTTAATTCGGGCTGTTAAAAGGAGCATCTCTTCACCCACTTCATAAGGTTCTATTTGGGTTCAGGCTATAATTTCTAGCAACTCAACAGTTTATAAATGTTGAAATTAATGTGTTCATTCAGATTTGAGAAATGGCTAGTTTCTCTATACTTTTTTAGTTTTTAGTTTCTTTATACTTTTTTACTTTTTGCTCTTATGGAGACTTGATATAAGATTTTTTTTTGTTGTTGTTCTTAATTTTGCTTTCATATTTTAGTGCCTAGTGAATAAAGACCCTCTCTCATTTATTGCCCTTGCAGTTCATCACCTGTGATGGATTACAATTTTTTATGAATTTTCTTATTTCCCAGTTCTGTGGCTGCTTCTACATTAATCACAATTAAAACTATACTTCTTATTACTCCCTGCCATCTTGACTTGGTGAGCTTTGCAAAAATATCCTGAAATGATCCAGTTTTATAAATTTTTGTCAATAAAAACAATGTAACATTTTTTGATTTCAAATTTTGCACTTTCAACATAACATTCCTCCAGCGTTCAGCTTTATAGAATTTTTGAATCTAATTAACAGAATTTTAGCATGGTTTCTAACTTGGAGGTCAGCATCAGTTGAGCTGCTTCTATAATTATCTCAGCCTTTCCCAGATAATGCTGGTACTGCATGTTCCTGACACCTGAAACTCTAGATTTTGTGCTAAGTGCCACTCATTAACTCCAGCAGCTCTCCGTGGAAGTGTCAGATATTTGTTCACACATAATTCATCGCCACTTTAGCATTCACCACCCAAAAGAAGCACTTACGAGCATATGGAGGGGAGGGCCCTGTGTTTAAATAAACCTTTTGCTGTTCTTTTTCAGTTTTATGTGAAAACTTATCAGCATAATGACCCATCAGTGGGCATCCTTCCTTCGGACATGGGAAGCAGTCTCCCTGGGGGAAAATAATAATGTGTGTTACAAGACATTATCTGTTTCAATCCCACTTCTTAAAGTATAAGAAATTAGGGTATTTCAGCTTTTTCCCAGCTTTTTTGAAAAGGTACTTGCTTCTGAGTTAGGATCATATCTTCAGTGTTTATTGGTGTGGTGAAAAAAGGAGCCGAGGTGGTCAGTCACCTTTTTTCATCTGACTGAAAATCGACGAGAAACAGGTTGAAAATCTGGCCTAATTCCTTATGCTCTTGCAGAGAGCATAAGTAAATACCTTAATGCATATTACCTGATGTGTAAAATACAGGTAATATGTTTATCTTTCACAGGGCCCATTGAAAGGCTGTCTGCTAATTATTATGGGTGGCTAACCATATTTGCAAGCAGGTCTGGCTGGATATCTCATTCATATGGTAAAGATATTTAAGTTTAGGAATACTGAAGCTTGGGCTCTCACTTTGGAATGTGTTCTGTCTGCTTTTCAGCCTTTATTCCCATGCAGAATCTTAATGAAATTCATCTACCTACATAGATCAAACATTCAGATCAAGACCTTGATGTCCATTAAACTAAAAAAAAAAAAAAAAAGAGAAGCATGTATGTTTTCGGTGAAAGTGATTTAACTACAGTTGGAAAAAATAGTATTGTTACATTTAGTTCAATTTTGATATTTGGGATGTTCTGTAGGAATTGGTATTTGCAGATCTTTGGCTAGTTGGGCATTAAATGAATAAAAGGCTAAATGATCATCATTACTTGTTCATTATGAGACTGAAAAAAACATTTCCCTCACATCACTAAATTGCACAGGGTTCATGTTTTCAAGTCCTGAATTACATCAAAGTTTCAAGTTACGTGGCAACATTGCTACAAACATTAACAAGTTTTCTGCAGTATTGTAGTCATTCCTTTTGGGAGTAGTTGGAAATAAATTCAGACTTGTCTTCCTTCTTGACCAGCCCTCAGTTATATTGCCAGAATTGGTCCACTAAAAGCCCAGTTATATCAGGCATGAGACACCAGGACATTATGCTGCTTGCTTTCTTGTGCCACCTGAGGGTTGTGTGAGCAATGCTGTGCTGTATAAATATCTCCTCTGCCCTACATACTGTGGATGTTTATTGTTTATACAGATGTTTAAACATGTCTGGAATCCAGAGGCTGTCCTCTTGGTGATGGGTTTCACCAGGTTTAGATGGACTTCCCTCAACCAGACCGAGTGTCCCTTACTGCTGACCTATGCAAAGGCTGAACCCAGCCACTGCCTCTCGTTGCCCTCTTACTCAGCTCTTGGTATCTCCCTTTGTAACTCTTTTTGGTGTTTGCATTTATTGACTTATTTTCTTCTGGATCTTTTCTTTTTTGGACTTTTCTGCTTTTATATTTTGCCTGGTTTTTGGGTATGGTCTGGATGAGGGTGGTCAGTGGGTCCGCATAGCCCCCCTGTATCCCATGATCCAGAGCGTAGAAGTTGTCCCAGAAATTATTAAGAAAGGCAGGGCTATAACCCCTCAGATAAATATGTACCTGGCACTTACCAATACAAATGCTTGATATGTTTCACACTGATACCCAACAAATCCATTGGGAATGATAATACTCTCAGCATAATATCGGAGACTTCTTTTATGTCCACATCCGATAGATCTATATTCTGGGAAAAAGCCCAGGTAAAAAAGATTAAAGCTATATATTAACATAAAGTCCATGCCAAAACAACACTTGTGGGTCTTTTTTCCTCAAAAGCATTTGTACATGTAGCGAACTCTTTAAAAAAAAGTAATAATTAAAATATGTTTAAAGTGTGAATTACTTGGTTTTACAGTAAAAAGTGTACTTATGGCTACATATATTTTTTCGATGGGGAAGAGCTAGGTTCTAATCTACGTGTCCCTGTGCTCATGCTGAAGTTAACAGAGGTAGAGATGCACCAAGGTGGACTTGGTGCACCTTCCTGTCCTGCTGCGGGTACTTAACTGTATTTTGTAAAACCACCGTTTCCACTCATTTCTAGAATTAAAGGGAATTGTAGTAATGATTTTAACTTCAGTGATGATTCTGTGAAATGCTCTGAAAAGCAAGATGTTTGGCAATGCATCCTTGATTTTGCCAGAATTATTTGAAACAAGTACATTTTCCCATCAGAGTGAAATTTATAAGCAGTCAGTGCAGGAAAGAAGAAAGTGTCACTTGGACTATATTAACAGGCCCCTTGTAACAAGTATGGTCTTCATTGCCTCTGAAGTCTGTCCTTTATCAAAGCACAATATACCAAAGTTAGCTTGTATAAAAATAGGCTCTACTCTGCTTCAGCGTGTGTGAGGGCTCACCTAATCACAGGGTGAAGTCTTGGAGGCACTGAAGTAATTGCAAGCTGGCACAGTTTATAGTGAACTCAGAATTTCTCCTACTGTCAATATTTATGCATCTTAAAGACAGACCAGTTGGTATTGACCAGTTGACACACATTGTTCTTTACATAAGGAAAGAAAAAAAACACACCCGTTGAAAAGTGTTTTTGTCTGTTTTTCTTGAAAATAATCTGTATCATCAAGGCTTCCTGAGTATGTTTTCTTTATAGTTCCTTCTTTAAATCTAACTCAGAAGGGTCTGTGCTTTTAACTTTAAAAACCTCAGCTCTTATGGCTGACTGACTTTGTGCTAGTGCCAAATTCACTTAACATCTATACAATGGGAACATAATACTCCTCTCCCTACTCCATCAAAAGCCGTAGAAAGAAGTTACCAAATAGCATTTCTAAAGCACTTCATACATAAAAGCACTACATAAATGTAAATATTATCAAACAGAAGAGATATGCATGAAGTAAGGTTTAACCAAGAGGCAGGAGTTAAGGCTGTCTCTATTTTTAGGAGCTGCATGAACAACCAGCTCCATCTACTTGTGTTCGATAGAGCTGAGCTTCTCCTTCACCACAAAACATTGCAAACAGCCTTGTGAAACGCCTCTGGAAAATATTTATTTTTTTTTCTGAAAATGCAGACATTCTTATGCAGTCCGATTGGAAGGTGTTTTGGTTCCAAGTGACTTTGTGCACAGCCAGCTTTCAGTCCTCTCTGTTACTAAGTTCTCCAGCCAGTTCTAAGACAGAGTATTTTTGAAAGCAAATTACTTAACTAGTGGTAGGGACTTCAAAACATTTAGCTGTGAATAACAGATGCTCTCATTTCTGTAGGTTAGGATCAGAAGACAGGATTTTGAGGATCTATTGTACTGGATCCCAGGGTAATTCTGATTAACTGCCCAGCTTTCTTTGAAGAACATGAACTATCAATGGAGCAGTCATTTTATCTTCTTCTATATTTTTAACCTTGTGCTGTTCCCTTTGAAGACACTAAAGCTGTTAATGGCCTGGATGAGTACGTCTAACCCCAGTAATATTGGGACTGATGTCTTTCTGGGGAGAAGGGAAGCTCAGATTTAAAAATACCCATTTTTGGATTATTCCTGAATGAAATTTTACCAGTCCTTCATGTGTGGAATTCCCACTGAGGCCAGTCTGTCAGCACAGTGGCAGGCTCTTATAGGGGCTGGGATGAACAAGTCTGCATGCTTTAACTGATGTTTCTATCTGCAATTTGCCGTGGTTAGTATAAAAGAAAATTGGAGGGTATTTCACAGGCA